AAACAGGTGTTTCGTTTTCCTTGATGTGTTTTGCTTTATTTCACTGCAGGGCTCCTCAGAGCCTTTAATGTGTAAATGCACGTTGTGAAGCTGCAAGTCAGCGATGTTTATATGAAGTTTTCCTAAATACTGTATGAAAGAAGTTCCTCCCCTCCATTTTTCTTTTTTTTTTTTTTCTTTCTGTCTTTTCTTTTTTTTTTTTTTTAGAAGAACCACATGTGAGTAGAAGAGCAGCAGCAAAGTGGCTGGGAACATTAGTGCTCCGGGGGCCTGTTCTACCACTGACAAGTAACTTGGAGGGAAAAAAAAATCAATGTCACAGATAATAAAAGGAGAAATGATTGAGGCTTATGGCATGAAATAAATGGGTAAAATGTTCAGAATATGCAATACTGGATGGTGTTAATAATACAAATTGGAAAGAACTACCTTTACTAAGTATTTTTCTAATTTCGCCCAATAGAAGCCATGAGTAGCCAAAGAGAAACACGAAAGTTTCATTCCAAGATGATTCTAGCTCCTGTTTCTGACTCCAGAAAATAAATTGCAAAATGAGTTTGAAATAAAGCATTAGGCTAAGCCTTAAAAAGGCTATGATTAAAATAATAGCAATGGAAACCTACTTGAATTTATAAATAAAGACACCAGATTGTATAGAGATGACTACTGCTTATTACATCTAACTCTCTTCCAGTAACAGTTCTTCCTTTTTTTTTTTCTAAACTACTGGCAAGCTAGTGGCAAACATCAACTGGTTCATATTGCTTCGGCTAGACATTTTAATATTCTTTGGTGAGATGTGTGTTTTCCAAGTTTTAATTCAGAAAAAAGGTAAGTATTTTACTTCCTGAAACTTGGCTATTTGAGTAACGAGAAAATAGCCACTTACTTTCCCCAGGACAGTGGTTCTCAATCATGGCTATGTGTTTCTCCAGGAAAACTTTAAAAATATATATACACCAATGCTTCTGTGTCACTTCTAGAGATTACAAGTCTTTAAATAGGAACTCAGCAACAGTATCCTTTAATTCTCCAGGTGATTGTCATGTGAAACCATGACTGAGCCCCACTGCTCTAAGATGAAATAAACTTTCTTCAGCACTGAAATCACAAACTTAAACTACCAAAATTAATTAAGGGCATGGGAATCAACAAGGCATAGGTAAACTTTTACATTATAAATTTTTTTTTTAAATCACAGCTCATTGTTTATATGTTATTTACCATTGTAGAAAAGGGTGAAAAGATAGCAAATTTAATTACTCTCTGTTTGAAAAATTATCCAGAAATGAAGATGACTTCTCTGAAACATTGTCAATATCATTTTATTTATAAACAATGTTATAATACATTTACTACATACTGATATATACCTTTTCATATGAATATTACACATTAAAACTAAGGAAATAATGATTTAGAACATTCTATCCATATCTATATATCTAAAGTAGGCTAGAAAATAAGATATGAGTTATTAAATATGATATGTTAAGGTTTGGGGGCAGAAATTATACTGTACTTCATTATCAATAATCAACATATACTTCAAAAGACTTAGTAAAGGTAGTTCTTTTCAATTTGTATTATTAACACCATCCAGTATTGCATATTCTGAGCATTTTACTCATTTAATTTGTACATCTTTAATTATTTTTAATTATGTATATAAATATAACTACACACACCTTTATATATTTATTTACTCATACCTCCATTCACTTCTTTATATAGGGGATCCCCCAAATCCATTACCATTAAGCCATACATTTTTATTTTAATCCTTAGAACAAGCCCAGGAGGCAGGTATTGTCATTACTCACATTTTACAAATGAGGATATTGTCTACAGTCACAAAGTTACTGTATCAGAAATATTAGAAGCTTAATACATATTTGGTGAACATATGCATAAAAACAGAGAGACATGTACAACAGCTCATCTTTATACTGAGTATAAGCTTTTAATCTGGCTTAGAAATCTCTCTGTGAAAACTGAGCAAAACTCTAGGTATCCTTTCGTTTGTCATATAGGTATAGGTGGTACCTTACTTCTCCAACAAGGATGAGTATTAAAATATGGATCCCAGGGCCCAACTCCAGATTTTCGGAATCCCTGATAGTGGGACTTGGAATTTGTCTATTGTTTCAGAGTTTCTCACGGTATTCATATGATCAACCAGGTTCAGAAATCACTGGATCTTATTGCTGAAGTTTGAGAATTAACATTTGGGCCTTACTGCTGCTCCACAGAAAGGGCAGACAAAGAAGTATCATGGACAGAACTGATACGTTCCCAGTTAGCTTCCTCTCTCAGAAGCTAACAGGCAGCAATACAGAAGAAATTAGTGACTTTTGTCTTGTGCTCTGAAGTCAGGCAGAATTTCACAGAGTCCCAGCAGTGTCACTGACTAGATTTGTTTCATGGGGCAAGTTGCCTGATGCTTTCAAAGCCATATTCCTTTTCTGTAAAATGAGATAACAATATTCTTTGTCTCATAGGGGTGTTTTAAAGATTAAATAAAAATAACATGTTATATCCTCCATGGCACAATGCCTGACACCTAAGAAGCAAAGGATACATCTTACCTTTATTGAAACAATCAGAATGTACCAAATCATGAAGGAGATAGAGTTCTGACTGGCAGTGTATCTTATTTTCCCAGGTTCATTTATTTATCTTAAACTATTCTTGTTGAAGAATAACTTCCAAACCCCCGACTTAAGCTGTGAGTAATCTCACCCTTTATATTGATGTTCTTTCCATGAGAAAAAACCAAAATGTTTTTAAGTTTTCTGGAGAAAATATCTCTGAGCTATTTCTACTGGAAAATCTAACAACTGGACTCTACCCCTCTGCATCAATTCTAGAGTGTGTATGCCACAAATAAAGTATCCTAGCTCAAGATTGAAAATAAATATGGTATAGTATTTTAAAATAAGAATTTTGCAAATGCACGGTACGTTTGTGTCGTATTACTAGTAATCATATAATACACAATGCAAAGTACAATTCATAAACTTAAATTTAATTCTAATAGGTAAACCGATTTCACCTTGTTGGGGGAAAGTTAAAGCACTAATCCAATTGCTAATGCAGTCTTGTCTACTTGTTTGGTACCTAGTGACGAGTCTAAATAATGTATATATTTTTATTTACATATTCAATAATACAATTCTCTGCTCAATGAGTGATGTTCTTCTGCCACTTGGTGGTGCTTGCCAGTTTCAGAATTTGTTTCTTGGTGGCACTGTAACACTAAGTACATACTAAGTGCAATAAAATTGCAGCATTCCCATTGAAAAGGCTTTGCTTCACACTGTTTAATAATTTAAAGGACCTCTGTGGAAGCAACTGCTTTTGTTAACCAGTCACAACCAGTAATTAACTCCTTTGGAGTTTTAACTTACTTTCGGCAAGACGTCTTAGGAAGAGTATATATTATTAGAAAGTATGCCAAAAATTTACTTAGCAGAAAATTCAAAAAGAGTTTTCCTCTGCTAAGAGGTTCTGTAAAATTCTACTTATATAGCCAAGCTCTGAAATCCTAGCAGGTCCTGTTTCATTATCGTAATTACTGCATAAACACATTTAAGGACTTTGCCTTTAGTTTCAAGCATGACTTATTTTCATAAGCTTGATTAGTTACCACACCATCTTTGCTATGGAAAATGACATGTTCTCACTCTGTGCTGTAGAGTTGTTAAATCTTGATCTATATTTATGTTTCCTTCTCTGCTGAAAGCCTGTAGCGAAAGAAATCTCTAATTCCTTGTTTTGCAATATTAGTTGGCAGTTCTATCTAATGGGTATTCCGTTTCCTTAAAGAATTTAGCTGCTCTGTCTAGAAGCCGATTTTCTGATGCCTCCAACGTCTGGTCAAATTGATCTGTTTTAATGGAGTCTTCGTCGGTGAGGAGCGAGATGCCACCGACTAGAATGCTGGGATCTGCTGCTTAATTGCCAGGAGTGAGAGACACTGAGATTCAGAAATCTTTGGAGGTGGGAGGGGAAGGGGACAGTCTCGGACGGAGGCGGAGATGTAAGATAAAGGGATGGATTTCACACAGGAAAAAAAAAAAGGAGATTTCTTTGAGGCACTGAGGTGCTGCACGATCACATCTCTCAAAGGAGAAGTTAAAAAGCGAGCAAGTGGGAGGAGGTTGGAGGTTAAAGTACTTAAAAGGATTACTCGGGTACAATTTGTTTTTCTGGTGGTGTCTGCAAAGGATAGATAGTCCCGTTTTCAAAGTATGTTAATGCCTCTTTTAAGTGATTGGGAATGGACACTAATTGCCTGTTAAATGTTATTAAATGCTCTCCTAAATTCAGAGGACACAGAAAGAGGGGCACAAAAGGAAAATTTAAATAGAAAAAGGGAGGATCTGGAGGCTTTTGAAAACTGGGGGAAAAGAAGGAAGAAGAATAAAAGAGAGGAATAGAGAAGGAGAGCGGAGAGAAGAAGGAATAAAAACCAGGAATCACTGAATAATCACACTCAAAAAAGAAAACTCTTCCATGTGGGGCCTCCAAAACACTGAGACTGTAATAGTGACCCCGGTCACGGAAGAAAGATGCTCCTCTCCACCCTTGTCCCGGAAAGCTCTCGGTCCCGTTACTGGCGACTAAAATTCCATTAGGCTAAAGAGTATGTCTAACTGCCTGAAGAATGCAGCAGGCGGAAGGCGGGTCCCGCTATGCCGTTTACCCTGTGCCCGCTGGAGCGAAGGAAAGAAACGCGCAGAGCCAGAGACTCCTGCCGAGTTAGACCTTCTCTCGTCGCCCCAGGTCACCGGCCATCCGGCAAAGACCCGCGTAAGGCACGCAGGGCCATTGCCTGAGCCAAAAAACAGAGCCCGCTCTCCCCTTCCGGGACGCCGCTTCCTGGCGGATGCTCCCGGCAACCTACCCGCGGTGTATGCGGAGGAGCCTTTCTCTTCCTCTCAGACCACTTGTCCCGCCCAAATCTGACCTTCCAAACACATCTGACCGCACCTCCCAGGTGGACACACGAATAGGCTACGGGCTGGAGAGGAGCGGGTGACGGAGAGAGGGATTCAAACCTGCGGCCGCTTGGGCTGGGTCGGAGCTGCGGGGGGCCTGGGTGGAGAGAGGGGAGAAGAGAGAAGGAAGGAGAGCGCCTGCCGGGACGGCTGAGCTGGCTCGGGGAGCAGCCTTGGGGTTGCAGGCTCTTGTGGGAGATGCTGCTGCTGCTTCCAGGCCGGCCAGAGCGGTTCTAACACCCTCGCCTCTCACCCTCTCCTCCCTGCAAATCTCTAGAAAAACGTTCCTGGCCTCTCCGCCGCGACATTCTCAGCCTGCATCTCCCTACAGTCTAGGCGGCGCGCTCCCGCACGCTGGAGCACTGGGCGCCAGCGGGACGCCCTCTCCCGCGCCGGCTCGCCCCTCTCTGCCCTGCTGCTGCTGCTCCTATGACACCTCCGCCCCCACCATCTCCAGCTCGGAGAGACGCCTCCCAGCCGCGGCCGGCGCTCGCTGCCCCGGGTCACGCGCGGAAGAGAGGCGCTAGTCCGCACCCTGCCCTCGGTAGGGGGCGTCCTGGAGCGGAGAGTGAGGCTAGTGGTATATGAGTATGCGGGTAGCCCACCATGAAGCCCGAGCTTCTGACTTGAGCCAGCCCCGCCTAGCCCCACTCGGGCCGGCGCCCGGCGAGCGAGCCCATCTGTGGCTTCCGCGGCCGCCTCCTCCTTGCATCCTTGCACCTCCTCGTCGACCCCTCCCTCCCGGGACCTGCATCCTGCTCCACCAATCAGAGTCCGACTGTCTCTTCCCACGTGACCCCGGGCGGGCTGAGGACCTGCTGCTTCCCAAACGCCAGAGGGATGCGGGCGGCAGAGCTTGATAGGCGGCTGCCGGGCTGCGGGGCGCCTTGACTCTCCCTCCACCCTGCCTCCTCGGGCTCCTCTCCTCTGCCCCTGGACTCCCATCTCCTCCTGTCCCCCGGCTTCCCAGAGTTCCCTCCTTATGGCAGCAGCTTCCCGCGTCTCCGGCGCAGCTTCTCAGCAGACGACCCTCTCGCTCCCGGGGCTGAGCCCAGTCCCTGGATGTTGCTGAAACTCTCGAGATCATGCGCGGGTTTGGCTGCTGCTTCCCGGCCGGGTGCCACTGCCACCGCCGCCGCTTCTGCTGCCGCCGTCCGCGGGATGCTCAGTAGTCCGCTGCCCGGCCCCCGCGATCCTGTGTTCCTCGGAAGCCGTTTGCTGCTGCAGAGTTGCGCGAACTAGTCATGGTGCTGTGGGAGTCCCCGCGGCAGTGCAGCAGCTGGACACTTTGCGAGGGCTTTTGCTGGCTGCTGCTGCTGCCCGTCATGCTACTCATCGTAGCCCGCCCGGTGAAGCTCGCTGCTTTCCCTACCTCCTTAAGTGACTGCCAAACACCCACCGGCTGGAATTGCTCTGGTAAGTCCAGAACCCCCGTCCCCGACCCCTTAACCCCGCAGAAGAACACACGTATCCAGCACAGACCAGCCTACCCTAGCGCGCCTCCTCAGCCCCTCACCTTCTACTGCCCTAGACTCCTAAGACCACCCACCTCTATCCAGAGAAACACGGAGAACTGTTCCAGGCCCGGAGGTAGGGGGTAGTTCTGGGATGGGTAGAAAGTGCAGGTGTAGCAGGAAACCTTTGCATGCTCGCGCTTACATTGGAGCTGAGAGAATTTTGAGAAATATTACACGGGATGGTTTTCTGGGTTCACTGGAAAGAACACCAATCCCAGGGGAAACACAAAAAGAGAAGCTTTGTCATCATTAAAGAAAAAAGTCTTAGTAGGATGAGGAAGAAATAACTTTATGAGAAAGAATGAGCGAGAAAGCAATAAATCAAATGGTGACTGCAGGGGAATCGCTGATTCCTGGCAAAGGTGCCATGAGGGCGCACTGGTCTCCCATTCAAGACCAGGTCACACAGATTCTAAAGGAGCTGGATTTCAATATAATCAATTTCTCTCTCTCTCTCTTCCTCTCTCTCTCTCTCTCTCTCTCTCTCTCTCTCTCTCCCCCCCCCCTCTCTCTCTTCCTCCTTCTCTCCTAGGCGACAAAAAACATTGGTTTTGCATTCCAGTTATGCCCCTCTCTTGCTTCCCTAAGCCTTCCCTCTACCCTAGTAGAGGGAAGTTGAGAAAAAGAACACTTTGCGGGTCTCCCAGGCTGGAGTGGGCATAACTGAGGCTGGTCAGGTTCCGTGTAGGCTAGCCGAGGGCGGAACCGACCTCAGTGGACGCTGACTCCTCCATTTCTGGACAGGCTTCCGTGGAGTGGGTCAAGCACTCTTCTTGCTCGCTTGGGTTCCTTCAGATTCTGACGGCAAGAGCTTGGCAGGCTTCGCTCTGCTGAAGCTTCCTAATTAAATAGGGCCAGAGAATGGGAGTTGCTGCACTCCTAGCTGGCATAGCATTTCGGTTTGACAGCCTGTAGTATACTGGGCAGAATTGTGGTGTAATTTCCTTGGCATTTTAAACTCCGTTAACATGCCTGGGTATTGTCCCCTAGGTGTGGTCTGTTCTAGTTTTAGCAAGTGTGTATGTAATTTTTCATCTTCTGTAAATATAATTTTGCTGTAGTTAAATCTGGCTGTGAATAAAGTGGCTTTAAGGATGTATGTGAGCTGAAGTGTATGTAACTTTAGAGAGGAGGGAATGACCAACTGTAACTCATAGGGTGAAAGCCTGTATAGTTCCTAGTTATTACTACTGTAAACGCCAAAAGGAAAATTATTATGCATCCTTCTAATTTATCCTTTACAAAGACAAGTTGAGATGTGCAACCCTATTAGATTTGGGTCAATAGATTGTTCTGTTTTTTTGGCAGTTTCTAAATTTGGCATTTTAATAAAACTCAACATGTTTCTGTAACTTCTTGATTCATGCATACATGTGTGTTGTTTTTGAAAGAATAAGTTTCACTTTGCTTTGTCTAATCACTTTTTAGATGCTTTATTATAGTAATAATTATGAGTCTGCAAAATCAGTTTTTGGAAATGTTGATGGCTTTGTAGTCCAACACAGACTGGTTTGCTTCATTCCTAGCCCTTGCATTGTTTTAGGAAATAACTAACTTAAATGTGAAGTTGACATTTGCAATCAAGAAATTCAATATTTGCCAGATATTTTACAGGGGACGGCATAAACTAAAGAGAATAAACTGGTTTTGCAGATAGGTTGTCAAGAACTTGACACCCCGCTCCCACCCCTGTTAACTTAGAGGTGATCAATCTTCATTTGAGCCAAACAGACCATCACAGAAAACACTGTGCCTGTTTATCTTTATTATTGAGGCTTTGTTTCCTCTTTGTCTGGATAAATTTCAAATAAGGGTTTGTTTCAGTCCTTGAAGCAAAAGAACAATTAAAGATGGGGAAGTGGTAAAAGGGCATTCAGAGATCATCACTAGCTCTTTTCCAAAATGTGGAGTTTTGTGGTCATAAATATTGTCCACCTAATGAGCAAAAAAAAAAAAAAACAGGAAGCAAATGTTAAGCACCACTGTCAATATTAATGAAGCCTTAAAAAATAGCACTGTCAGAAAAGGATATTAAAGGAGAATTGACTAGAAAAGAATTGTGGAAAATGGAAACGAATATTGATCACTTAACTAGATTTTGAGGTTATCAGTAGATGGTGACCTTGCAGTACAGCTATAGTTGTTGGATTTAAAATTTAGAACAAGTATTTTAAAGCTTCAAGATAGTGTTTTTTGTTAAAAATCTGTAACATGTTTTAATGACTGGAGTGTTCTCTTTAAATTTGAGGTTATGATGACAGAGAAAATGATCTCTTCCTCTGTGACACCAACACCTGTAAATTTGATGGGGAATGTTTAAGAATTGGAGACACTGTGACTTGCGTCTGTCAGTTCAAGGTAAGAAGTCTTATATTTGCATCTTCTAATTCATTAATGAGACTGCAAAGCAGGGATCTCCCTTTACAGCCTATCACTTGGAAATTTATAGCTATGCAAGCTAAGAGGGAAGCTGGCACCAAGCAAAAGTACTGGCAAGAGAGCCAACTGATGTCAAGAAGACATATACTTTTTGGAGAAATGTATATGCCAAAGTTATAAATGCCACTGAAGGTAGAAAGCTTCAGGTTGTGCTTTTGGGATGTCAAAGAAAATTATGTTTCTCTGACCCTTCTAGCATCATTTTAAAAGTGAATTGACTGGGCATAATAGTCAAAGTAGGGGGTAAAAAGTGTGAACTTGTGCTTTTGTTCTTTTTGATGGGAACTATCATCTTTTTATCTTATTGCTATCTGTTTTAATGATCTTGGCCTTTATTGCCCTTGCAACCTGACTAGGTTTTTAAGTTAGCTCCTTATTAGTGTAACTTCAAAACTTTGTTCTAATTTGGAAATCATGGAACTTATTAATTAATATATGTCAGCTTTTTCATAGGTACCACCCTCAATTAGAACTGAATCCCCTAGGAATCCAAAAGAGCATTTAGATCCACAAGTTATTTTATGAACATCAGGAAGATGTACTTTTTCTTGTGTTAATTTATTTTAAGTAACAAAGCTGGCATCATCAAAACTAGGTTACTAGTATATATTAAAGATAGAACTTTTAATGTCATTAGGATGCTCGTTAGCTAACAAATGCTTTCCACCATGTAAGTTATAAACCTTTTCCTCTCAAAATGTTCATATAATCATGTAGAACTTCAAGTAGCATGGGTGTTGTACCAATAGCCTATATTTGCCCTTGAGCATTTTAAATTACTTTAAAAAATACTTTTAAAATCCGACAGTATGACTCAACCAGGAAATATGCACATAAACAAAAGTACATGTGAGATAAGGGAAACTTTTCTAAGAATAAAAAAATATAGAACAAATAAAAACATTAAACTCAAATTTAGACCTAGATATCTGGTTTAATAGGTAATATTTAGAATTATTGATGAAATTTAAATATTTTAGATTGAATTTGACCTCCCACTAAGAAGAGAATTCACATTTAAATAAAGTTTAAGTGGCTTTTAGAAATGCTAAAACCTTCTTAGACATTATTTTCTTCTTTCTAAGAAACATAATATGACAACTGATATTTGTAAAGTGCACCACCTCCTGGTGGGTGAGTACTGCTGTGACTGTACAGTTTTTTAGACCATACCATAGTGTCAGAAACATATTCATGCATATTTAATATGCATGTAACATCAACTTCTAAGGTCTCCAGCCACATTAAACAATGTTATTATGTACTTTCAATGAACTACATGAGAGAGATAGAGCATGAGAACTCCCCAATTCATACTTAACCAAATGTTAACTAAACAGGAAAAAAGCACAATTGGATAAATCATTAATTAAAGGCCCAGAGAATTTTGTGAATTTTTCCTTCTTTCTCTTTTTGATTTCCATAAATTTGTCTTATTTTCATAACCATAGATAGACAAAAGAAATGAACTCATAAAAAATATCAAATGAACCAGGAAAAGCATTCCTGAAGTGTAAAGCCATGGTTCTAAGATTTCACCAGGAGAAAAAAAAAAAAAGGGGGGGTTGACAGAACTCTAAAGGAACAGAACTGTAAAGCTGCAAAATGAAAATAAATAATCTTCTTGTTAAAGGAATTGTTTTCATTTTATACGTGCTACGGAAGATTTTGGTAAAACTTTTATCAACAAAAATATGTGTGTTTTTCATACATTGGTCAGTCAGCTATGTTTAGCATTAATTTAAATAATTGTTAAGTGGAATCCATGGGGGAGTGGCATCGAATGCAAGTTTGCGTAAGAAACTAAAATGTAAATTTGCTTTTTGTAATCCTTGTGGCATTTGAAATGTACTAGTGTATTACTACTGCTATTAGTTTGTGCTTTGCAATAGTTGTCAATCTGGCAAGAAAAAATAAACATCTCCCTAGTGGAAAATGTAGACTTTGCACATACCAAGAATATAGAGTGGCTGAATTAAATTGAAGATCAAAGAAAAGTATAAGTTGCATGAAGAATAATAAATAGGATATTTTAAGCTAAGAGTCTCTTGAGTCCATCTTCTCCAATACATGAATTTGAGTTTTTGGTGTTTGTTATTTTAGCCCTAGTATCTGATAAAAAGGGAGAGGTATTGAAAATCTATTTTCCTATGTATTATTCTAAACTTCTGTTTCTTTCTCTGCTGCCTTTTCAGGTACAAGCAAGCATTCCTCTTTTTTTTTTGTTTTGTTTTTTTTTTGTTTTGTTTTGTTTGAATTTTTGGAGACAAGAGTCTTGCTGTGTCGCCCAGGCTGGATAGTAGTGGTACGCTCTTGGCTCACTGCAACCTCCACCTCCTGGGTCTCCCAGCGATTCTTGTGCCTCTGCCTCCCGAGTAGCTGGGAATACAGGTCACTCCACCATTCTCAGCTAATTTTTTTGTATTTTAGTAGAGACGCGGTTTCACCATGTTACCCAGGCTGGTCTCAAACTCCTGCGCTCAGGAGATCCACCTGCCTCTGTCTCCCAAAGTGCTAGGATTACAGGCATGAGCCACGGCACCCAGCCTGCAGTCTATAGTCTTTCTAGCTGAGAGATAAATTTCAAAGAGAAATGGGCATATATTTTTATATCTATAATGTTTACAATTTGCCTTATCACTGGAACACTAAAGTAAACATTATTAGTCTTCACCTCTCTTAGATGATTTTAAATAAATTGATTTCTATCCTTCAAACATATTATCTCATTTATTTCTCACAACTCAGTGAGATGATTGTTTTCTCTCCCCTTTTTAAAACTTTTATTTTAGGTTTGGGGGTACATGTGAAGGTTTATTACATATGTAAACACGTGTCATGGGGGTTTGTTGTACATATTATTTCATCACCCAGGTATTAAGCCCAGTAAGTATGAGGATGAAAATTTGGAGACAGTAAATGGATAGACAGACAGATAGGTAGGTAGGTAGGTAGGTAGGTAGATAGATAAGAATAAAAGTGGGGAGGAAGGAAGGGAGGGAGGCAGAAAGGGAGGGAAAAAGGAAGGGAGATACATGTAGATATTTATAGATAGCCCTGGTCATGCAATGATCAATAACTACTTTATAATTTAAAAATATTATGAAGCCTTATGTTTTTCAGGTATTACCTAATTCAAATACTAAATTTTTTTTAATAAGTCATGCTTTAGATCTAAAATTTTCTTATTACTAAGGCTGTGTAACAGACTGCCCAGCACTTAGTGGCTTAAGACAATGAATATTTATTTTGTTCATGAATCTGCCATTTTGGCAGGGCTTAATCAAAACAGCTCACCTCTACTCTCTTTGGCGTTAGCTGATGGTGAGGGGAGGGAATTCAAAGGCTTGATGCTATACTGATCTGAGGGTTCTCACTCATATGTCAGACTGTCAGCTGAAGACCTTCTTCTTCTCCATGTTGATCTCTTTGCATGGGCAAGTTTTGTCTTCCTCATAGCATAGTGGCTGAGTTTCAAAGTCAAGCATCCAGAGAGAAAGAAAGAACCAGGTAGAAGCTATATCCTTTAGTGACCTAGCCTGGGAAGGCACACAGAGTCATTTCCACCATAGTCACAGGCCTGTCGACTCTTAAAATCATAATTTTTTTTACATTTAAAGAAATATAAATCACAGAAAAGTAAAAATTACTTATGGAATGGCCAAAGGATTGGAACATATGCAGATTTTTAAAATCTTTTTTCCTTTTTGGAAGAAAAATATACCATATCCCAAGCCATTCTTCTTAAGCCTTTGACAACTGAGAATATAACAGAATTGACTTAACATCTGTTGAGCACCTTCTACATGCCAGACTCTGTGGAAGGGGCTGGCAATATATAAAACGTAAGTCATACGTGAGCTTCTAGATGCTGAAATCTCAGCTCAAAAAACCTATATTAATCAAATAAGCAATAAATCCTATGAAAAACTTCTCACATAATTTTTATTAATTTGTAGCAAAAATGAATTTCATACATTCTAGTGTGTCAAGTTATTGACTCCACTAGTGTGGGGGTTAGCCCATTTTGGAACAAAATTCTTCTATTGAAAAACACTTGTTTGGAAAATAAACATAAGATTTTAAAACATAGAAAAATAGAATCACTTTTCCCCCTGAGAGGAAGTTTGTACAACACATACATTTATGGACCTAACCATCTGAACTCGAGTCTTGTTTTTCCTCTTACCAGGCAACTGTATGGCCTTTAGCAAGTCACTTAACATCTCAGTCTGTCTCTTCATCTGAAACTGAGCAGTATCATGAATATTACTAAAAACTATTTCCAATAATTTGGCATATTTTAATGCAGTAGTTAGCGTATTTCATGCTTAGGGTTAGCCTGTTTCCTCTTGTTTTTCTAGTTCTAGAAATGCCATGGTTTGATGTTAGAGTTAAAATACATATCATACAAAGCAAATAATTTACATTTCTTTGTGTAAGTATTACAAGATGTTTCTCGTTTTAAAAACATGACTTTGTTAATTTCCCAAGTGTTCCAGGTAAGCATTTCAAGTGGGAAAACTAGGCTATAAACCTGTTAAATATTTCATTGTTGACTAACATTCAAAAAGTCCTACACCAAGGCAGTGAAAGAAATAGGAGGACCTAGGACTAGACTCCCACTTATGAGCTTTCATCATTTAGGACGTGCATCCTCCTTGTATTCTTCATATTAATGAGTGCAAGTCTTGATACTAAGGGCCAAAAACATCATGCCAGTAATCTACAGTTAAGCTCTTTTCAGCTCTGTAGAAATCTCCCTTTTGGCTTGTGCGTGGAACTTGGCAGCTCTGTTTTTAGAACTGTTCGAATTTGGCTTACTGCATCCCTCAGAAGCGGCATATGAGCACTTTATCAGTTTATTCGATATTTTAAGATGCATATCAGCATTGTGTACTAGCAGTTGGGAGAGATAATAAATACTTTCCACTCCCCACTCCCAGTCCACTGACTCTATATTTGAGTAATCTGAGAAGGACAAATAAATAAAATTTAAGGATTGGAGAGAAGAAAACAAGGACCCAAATAATCTACACACAAAGTATTATAAGCAGGGATGGAGATGGAGATTGAAAAGTAGTCTGGGGCAAGAATGCCAGGCCTCAAGCATTAGATGTTAGTCCAGCTAGTCATAGACATATTATGACTCTCTTCTGTCTACTGAAAGGATCAGCAAGTCTAGCGATCATAATGTCACCAGCTGTTTCCTTCTTTCTGGTCTCTCCTCCATGTGCTCAGACACCATTGTAGTGTTCGTAGATCAACATAATCCTACCTACATTCTCCTGTCTCAGGTTCTGATCATAGCACATTTATCAAGCACCTATCCCTGCACTTTCCTTGCTGGCCACAGTTCTGGCATGAGCACAAGCCACATTTATTTGTTTTTTTCAGTACTGCTCATTGGAAAATTCAAATCTTCACAGGCATTTTGCTCTTGCCTTCTTTCTTGAATAGTAGTGCAGATGCTCAAACCTGTGGTGAGTCAGTTTTCAGATGTAAATTAAAACAAATTTTTGGAAAGCTCCTGGAAAACAGTGCTTACACAGGTATCGTCTAATCAGAAGTCAGTTGCTGATTGAGTTAAACATTAGCAAAAGATTAGTGAAAAGCTCTAATCAAATCAGTTTTTTTTTTTTTTTTTTTTTTTTTTTTAACAGAATCTTGCTCTGTCACCCAGGTTGGAGTGCAGTAGCTCAATCTCGGCTCACTGCAAGCTCCACCTCCCAGGTTCACGCCATTCTCCTGCCTCAACCTCCTGAGGTAGCTGGGACTACAGGCACCCGCCACCACGCCTGGCTAATTTTTTGTATTTTTAGTAGAGACAGGGTTTCACCGTGTGAGCCAGGAAGGTCTCGATCTCCTGACCTCATGATCTGCCTGCCTTGGCCTCCCAAAGTGCTGGGATTACAGGCGTAAGCCATCAAAACAGTTTTTTAAATATAATCACATACATAGACTGAGTCTGGGAGACAATAATGTAACTGTGGAAAAGAATTACTATATAGAGGACTTGCAGAATGTCTAGATTATATATTGTAGAAATTAAGATAAAGAATATTTTTAAAATATGTGCTAAAGCAATCTGTTAGTAATTATGGTCATCTTAATATGACTGTCATCCCATTTGGGTTTACTGTTTGGAAAAAAGTTGATCACAATTACCAAAACATTATATTTAAGTTGTTAATAATATATAAAAAAATAAAACTCATAAAATTAGGCTTTCATTTCAAAGAACATTGACATTTAAATTTGTTATGACACTTAAGCTATTATTATATAAAGACAAAGAGCAAGAGTTAAATAGATGGTTAGGAATAAGGAAGTTTAGGTATTGTAAGGAAATAGAGTAAAATAATAAATTTCAGGTTTTAATCAATCAGATTATCAACATGTTGAGAGGTGTTTTCTTTTGCATAAATTCTTGAGTTGAAGTTTATTTATGATAGGGTTTTAGGTTTGTTATCATATATATTTAAACTTTCCTACCCATCTCACTGTATTATTGGTTTATTTTGTATGTATTCTGAACTCACAGAACATCAAAGATTCAAATATATTAGATAAAAGTAAAACATAGAGAAGAGTTTTTACATGCATCTGTAAGTATGATTTTCCTTTCTTAGTTTCTGGCATAGGTGAGCATATAAAGATAATAATCTTGATCATTATATTGTTTATAATTAAACAATGAAGCACATCAGTAGTAGTAATCATGAGATAATCACATCCCTGGTGTAATTAGCAGGCATAGGACAAAGCCAAGTATCATTAATGCCTTAGAGTATGATTATATTATGATGACTATACTCTGTAGGTTGCCTTAATTTTCACTGTAATATATATACTTTTTTAATAATGAGTTTCTTTTAAAAATGAACTTTTTTCTTTATGGAATATCTATTAATAGACATACTTTGGAATAGTCAGTAAAGTTTACTTACAGTTCAGTAGTTGTTTAAATTTTTCTCTGTGTTCCATAATTTTGTTTCTCTCTAGACCATATCCATATCAATATACAATAAAGAGGTATAAAAATAAATAAGTAAATCAGTATCTTATCTGAATATTTAGAAACTTACAAGGACTAGAATTCAATAAAAATTCAATTAAATTCAATTTAAAAAACAACTAAGAGTTAATTGATTTATTTGGCATTTTGGCCATATACTTCCACTCCTAACACAGATAGACATTACCTGTTTTTGAATAGCTTGAAATTAAACTGTATTTTAATTTTTTCCATCAAGTCATATGGGCTACATACTAAAAATAATATTAAGCAGTATTAATATGTTTGTTGCTATATCTTTGTTGTGCTACTTGTGCAGTCACTTTGTTGGAATTGCCTGATCAATTTAGATGCTTATTTTTGCCCTATCTAAGTCAAATGACTGGTTGGCTAACTTGAAATTGGCTTTGTGAATCTTTCAATGATGCCCTTATGAAGACTCATTGGACACAATTAGAATCATTGAAAATGAAGACAAGTGGTTTCTTTTGCAAATTATTACTTCTGTTCATCATGTCAGAGGGATGCAGTCTCCAGTACTAACTATAGGCTTACATCTGTGTATTTCCCAGTGCAACAATGACTATGTGCCTGTGTGTGGCTCCAATGGGGAGAGCTACCAGAATGAGTGTTACCTGCGACAGGCTGCATGCAAACAGCAGAGTGAGATACTTGTGGTGTCAGAAGGATCATGTGCCACAGGTATGTGTGTGATCTTCTTTGAAACCTTCTGCCTGGATTCCAAATCCAAAAACTATGTCTTTCATTTCTTGTTATATCATCTCCCAATAAATAATTCAGATTGTATATTGACTAGACAAGCCTGTATTGTTTTGTTCAAAGCATTTATTATTCTTATTCTTTGTCATTTTTACATTTCAAGTCACTTTTGGAAGAAAGAGGGTATCTACCATAAGGACAGTGGTAGATTTAAGGACATATGTTATTAAATGAAATACAGGCAGTTTGAATAAAAGTCACATATAATTAGAAATCTAGATTGACTGCCAACATGCCAAATATGGAGAAACCTATGTATGGATAAAGTTGTATTATTTATTTGTGTGTTTGTTTGTTTTGAACAATAGCATTATCTGCTGAAAGGCAATTTTGCAGATTGGGGCTCTGAAGTTGATGTCTAATCTTAGCTCTACAAAATGGCCTTATTATTAGGTAGATTATATTGACAAATGTGTTTGTAGTTGACATAATTTCTAATGACATGTGTCATTTCTGACTCAATTAACCTGGAATTCTACAAAGTTTTTCAGTCAAGTTTACCAACAATGCTATAAAGGAAGTAAGAAGAAAGAGAGACTTCATATGCTCTATAGCTTTTCAAGCTTTCCTTCTATCTATAGTAGTTGTTAGAGCTTATGCTTTAAAATGGGAAGTGCTTTAAAATGGGCCTGAGTTTTCAAGTTAAGCTTGATATCAAAGTCACATGTGTTATAGAGACTTTAAGATGCCATGGTAGTTGTTCTTAATGCCAAATAAGCATCTTTCTGGGAAGTCATAATTCCTGAGAATTTAGATGATATAAGCATATTCCGGAATAATAACAATGATATCAAATATAAACTTTCTTCAAAAATAGGAGCGAGAATAGCGTCATGAAAAGTCTATTTTGTTCAAAAGTCCCTCTTAGATAACAGGTATTTCTAATCTAGAGTATGATGTTAAAAGTTATGTGCTAAGTGGCTGGGGCAGGGTGGAAAATGAGCAAAGAGAAAAGCCTCATATTCTTTAAAAGATTGTCTTAAGCGTATTGATTGTTAGTAAAGTTATACTGGTGACTACCCAAGTTTCTGAGAATTAGCAGAAGAAAGAGAATAGTATCGTATCTCATGGCCAATGATATTTTGTTTTGGTTTTGGTTTCTAGCAGTCTTTTCTCGTAAGGGATTATTTGCTTAGATGTGAATGTTCTTCATGAAAGGATGGTCACGGGGCAAGCTGAGCTGGTACTGCATTTGCTTATTTGCTAAAGCAAGCAGGTCATTGCTGCTTGGTCTGTGAATGACAAGTCATGAATAAAAGGTACAGCAATATGTGAGAGTCAATGGGCAGCCTTCTCCAGTAGGAAAGGAGGATGACCAGCATGCTGTTCTCATGCTAAGGATGAGGGATATAGAAAGTATGACAAGGAGCAAATGAATTATGAGGAATCAATCAGCCATACCAAAGAAATGAGAAATAATACTTTAGGACAAACTGAATAGAAAAAAAGTAGAATCCCAGGAACCAGGAAGGATGAAGGCAAATACCATAGAGTATTGAGGAAAGGATTTGCTTTTTCAAGATCATCGAGAATATCTGTTCTTTTCTAACAATAACCACATGAGAATTGGCAGGCAATTATTATAATAAACAGATCAGAAGTTACGGTTATGGCCGATGTAGCAAAATCTTTCTTTCTTACTTGCCAACCTCCAAGTTCTTGTCAGTGCATATAATCACATTCTCCTGATTCATTCAAGTCTTTCCATTCTAGTCCCTGATGTGCTGGTTATACTATGAAAATAAATACTTAGCCAAGTAGAAAATTTAATCACAATCGAGTAATCCATCTTTAGCTCATTCACATACTTAGATTTCTACAAGATTTAATTAGTAAGCCAGTCTTGCTGAATGCATCTTCCATGGTCTTGTAAATCTAAAAGGTTTTTGATCTGAATAATGACGGAGAGAACAAAGTAATTTTCATTAACCAGATCTGACTGTAAATAAATTGGGGTTCTGACTTTTGATCTAGAAGGGATTCTCATTCTTTTCTTTGTATATTTCCCATTTATTTTTTAATGCTGTTTGACACTGAATGAAAGTGGCAAGTTGTAAGCTCTAGGAATAATAGGCAGTAGAAGATATAACTTTATATTTATTATATTTCATTGAACTTTATTTTTTTGTCCAGAGAATGGATTCTTATTGGGAAATCTGCTCAATGGTCTTACTGTCAATTTAACTTTTTGCCTTGTAAGAAATGCGTTAACTAGGAACTCAGATTTAGGTCTAACAGCATGACTTATTTTCTTAGGTGTTTCTTTCTCACTAATAAGACTTTAGTAGGCTACTTATCATCAGTTGGCCAAGATGACTCATCAAATAATAGAGAAAACATTAAAGCTTCCCATAACGATTTCATAATGATGCCACCGACTTAAGTGATCATTTTTCTAATCTATTCCTTCTTTTCTTCCCTGGCTGTTTCATTTGTGTCAAATCAAATATTGTCTTAAGAACCATGCCCCTTGAAGTTTTAGAAATGCACGTGGGAAATACAAGATAAAATACTATCGGCATTTTTTTCTGATTTTCCCCAATCATATGTATTTATTAGAATACCCGTAGATGAATAGGCAAGATGTTTACTCTACATTTTAATTATTATGTTCCAGACAGTGCTTAAGCATTTAAAATATACTACTGTGCAGTAAGCCTCAAAATAGCCCAATTGGATAGATATTACTATGCCCATTGAATAGAGGAGGAATATGCTTAGCAAGGTTGAATAACATTTCTCTATCATGCAATGAGTAAGGTTTGGAGCTTGGAACTCCTAAGCCTTTATGCATTTCTGCTTATGTTCATATAAGTGTAGAGTGATAAACAACACATTTTCCTTGACTGAAAGAAGTTTATAGGGGAAAATTTAGAATAAACTATATACATTTAACTAAAATATATTTAGAATGTGTTATCACTATAATACCACAACCTGCTATTTAGCCCTGAATGAGTATAATACTGAATTAAGCTTTCAAATTAATGCAAATACAATCAATTAAAATTTTTGTCTGTGAAAGTATACAAAAAGGAAACTTGACAAACATTAAGCACTCAAGCACTGTTCTATCCAAAAGAGATGATGTTGTGACTTATAACAGTCAGTTCAGTTGGTAGGAATATTCTAGTATCAGCATGAATTCATCAGTCTTTCTTGATCTATTATCATTAAACAGTCAATTCTTATGATTAAAATCCTTGTTTGATTCTACATTTACTAAGAGTAAATTTTATCATAAATTATTTTACCAATTTACTTGCCTTTAAGGAAAAGATATGCTGCCCCAAGGACATATGTCCTGTCACATTAATAGTTAATTGATTACTTGACATTCTAATAGTCAAGTAGTGCTAGGCTGTATAAATTTAGTTAATGTGGGTCTCCAACAAGACTGACAATTCAAACTACTGCTCCTTCATGGTACTGCTAATGCCAATACATGATAAAAAGGAGGGCTGCTGGGAAGGCCTTCCTTCTTCAATATATGTCAGCCTTCTGTGGATTTTCATATACCATGCCTCTTTCTATGTGGTGCTTCTCAATAAAGTATCATGGAAGCAAACAAGTAAAAGTCATGTTTTATTTTAATTGGACTAAAACCGTAAATTCTTAAGAGTGGCATTTGGTATAAGTCTTGAACCCTGGGTGAGATTTCACTGTGGGATAAGGGCACATCAGGCAGAGAATATCAATATTAATCTTATTTCCCTGTATTAACATTAAATACATAACCAAATGTATTGTGGACGAACAAAAATGGAAAGGCAGAAGGAAGATGATATCTATACTTAAGAAGTAGAAGCAGATGGAACCTCAGTGGTTTTGATTTCAACTTGAAATTTTGCATGTTTCTGGGAACTACTTTCCCAGAAATAAACAACGTTGACCAATTGTAATTAATGGGAGGAAGGGGAGAGAAGAAATAGTGAAAGAAAAATCCAGAAGAGGAGGTATGATTTTTTTCTGCAAGAATCATTTAGTGAATATCGGACTTCAAGCACAAAGGCAAAAATCAAGCTCTCTTCTACTGATGTCAAAAACAAAGGATGATTTGTCACAGATGGAATCATCCACAATTGTGGTATTCGTAAAACTTATCAACACCCATATAAAAATATTTCTTTTTAAACTGCTTTTCTCTTTGTTCATATGCAATTTGCAAGAATATAAGCCTTAATTATGGGTTTATTTGCCACAGACATTAGACTGTTTAATTTCTGAAACTTACTGATTGTTACAAGCATCTCATTTTTAATACTTTATTTTGCTAAGGGCACCAAATCCAGCCTGTCAAGATTAGGAATTTTTCATAGTCGAGATTAGGAAATTTTCCAAACTGGGCAATAATGTTTTCATAAAGCTTTGGAATAAAAATGATGGATAATTTATTTTAGAAGTTACATTAATAGATATTAAATTGATGTGAATGTATATTTTTGGATTAAATATTAGTATTTTTCTCAAACAATATTATTGCAGTATTAAACTAAGAAAGTAAACTTGAGCTTAAAAAGTCATAAGTATTTTTGAATATGTTTTACTAGCAAATATAATTTTTCCTCCCACAGATGCAGGATCAGGATCTGGAGATGGAGGTAGGAGTTGCTTTTTTATATATTTGAAGATTTACTGGTGGATATTATTATGTATATTTACTTATGTATATTCCATTTCAGATATTTAAGGCAAATTCATATTTTGCATTTTAGGAAAGATGAAAACATAAAAAATTATCTCCATATAAAGTACATGTATATGCCATGCAAATTATTTGGCATACTTATGAATCATACTCTATCTCCAGTTAATCTTCTTTGTTCATTTGTTTGTTTGTTTGTAAGTTATTTTTGATATGGATAGGCATAATGTAAAAACTTCTGAAGAGAAGCATGCAAGCATATTTGGCAGGGAAGAAAGAATTCATGAGGAAATCATTTAAATATTGGATTTTTAAATATAAGACACTGCTCTCAATTACTAGGTAGTAATAAGACATACATAACCTACCATATAGACAAGATTTTAATTATCGGATTTATAATTTGAAACTGAAGGAACTTTAGTTCATAAAAATGAAAAAGATAAAATTAAGTCCAATGAAAGTATAATATTATCTTTGCTTCCTTGATTAAATCTATAGTTATTTTTACTAAAGTATGATATATGTTCCCATTAGTTAGTTTTGTTTAGGGAAGTATATAAGAAAGAGAGAGAGAAACTTTAAAAGTTTGATCTAATGTACTTACTACCAAATGAAGATTTTACCTGTAGATTGAAACTAAATCATAAATGTCCCAAATACTTTTCCCAATGAAATTCAAACAAAATTAGACTTTTATACACACAAAGCAAAACAAAACACAGCCTATGTATAATTTCAAGATTAAGAAAAACAAAACAAATGAAAAACATTGTCTCAAGACCTTGCTTCAGTTGTGTAAAATAATTAAATGTGCTATTCCAGGTTGATTTCAGTTTTTAAATACAGAATTTGATAAAAGATAAGTAAAAGAAGGCCTGGGGTGCAGGGTGGCAGATATTTAATGCACCCTTTATCTAGTTCAGGAAACACTTGAAAGATTTATCAAGTTTCCTTATGTAATGAAAGGCTTAACTAGTTCAAATAAGCAATACCCACAGAACATAATTAGAGCAGCATATTGGAGCACAATTTTTTTCCTAAAGACTAAAACTGTACAGCAGTCAAGACTCAAGCATAGAATATGTTTCAATGTCACATGATGTTTGTTGGACAGTCCTTTGATGTCTGGACAGTCTTTCTCTACTTCTAATAAAGTTTTTCTTAGCTGATTAATATAGTATTCCCAAGAAAGTTTCCCTAGAGGTTCTGAAGATAAGACCTTAGAAGAACATATTAAATCTTAAAGAAAAAAAAAAGACGGAAAAAAGGCAGTTCCTTTAGTATGTTTTACCATGAGAATATTATTAATAAGAAATCAATTTTTTAAAATGTTTCTTTTGTAAGGAAATAGTTTCTATGCAAAATTGTGTATGTTTTCTAGCTGTTTAGTTTTATATGTAGACTACCTAATTTTGCAAATATTGTGCTGAGACTGAACTGTTCCACTGTTTACCCACCAGTCTTGTTAATTTTCTAGCATCTTTAAAAACAAAAAAAGAAAAAAAATCATACCAAGAATATCTTCATTTCTCTTTCTGTTAAAGCATCATCATATACGTTTTTCTGCTTGACTGTCCTATCATACTATACATCATATCTTTATTTTTCTAACAATAAGATGTGAGTTTTGTTTCACATGCTAATTTCTAGTTTTCATTCATTGTTATTAGCATATGCAAGTGAAAGTGAAGTCAAACTCGCTCTTCCTTGTTGCATTTTATATTAAAATCTTTGGTTTATTATGTTGTCTCGTGATCTGAATCAGACATTTTTTTCAGGAAATAATGTTAATCTCATGAATATGACATGTATAACTTATTTTATACCATATGAGTGAAACATCACTTAGAAACCACTTTTTTATTTTCTTTATCTTTTTCTGTTTTTAATCACTCTTCCTTTCAATTATAGGTGCTTTATAGTAACTTGGAGAAAACAAAAACAACTTCCAATGTTTGCTTTAGAAAAAAAAGCATATAACACATTTAATTCTGAGCTTATTATTTTAAATAATGGCAGTTCTGAAAATTGTGGTGATGAGTATTTGCTCCTAATTGCATACGATGTTTAAAATTAGAGACTGGTCAGGTTTTTCTTAACAGAACTACTTGTTTTTCTAGTCTACATGTTACTTTGCTCTGTAAGACTGTTAGTTTTAATTTTCTTTAAATTCTTTATTAAGGGATGCCAAAAACACTTAGTAACTAAAACCTAAAAACCTAGTTTAGAATGACATGCACAAATTCAGTTCATATATCCATTGGGTTGTAATCGTAAGATATATGTGACTTGCTATCTCTCTTATATAGATGTTAGACTTTCCCCTGTATTTTTGTAGAGTTCGTATTACCAAGGTATTGAGAGGCCAGAATCAGCTTTCTTTATTTTTGAATAAAGCAAAAGTGATTGAATAACTTGTGATTGTTTGGCTAATCCAACAATTGTAACTAGTGATTGTTCTAACTAATCTCTATATAACATATTCTCAGTAATGTGTATTTAATTAATAATGGGTTTACTTGGCAAGCACTTTGGATGGTTAATAGTTATTTTCTAATCTCTCATTTTAGCAAAAGTTAACATAATTCCAAAGTGGAGTACATTGAACAAAAGGGTGAAGTGAAGAAATTTACTTGCAAAACATTTATCATGTGTGACTATCATAAATGATATCATTAAACCCACAAATCTGGCCGGGCGCGGTGGCTCAAGCCTGTAATCCCAGCACTTTGGGAGGCCGAGACGTGTGGATCACGAGGTCAGGAGATCGAGACCATCCTGGCTAACACGGTGAAACCCCGTCTCTATTAAGAAATACAAAAAACTAGCCGGGCGAGGTGGCGGGCGCCTGTAGTCCCAGCTACTCGGGAGGCTGAGGCCGGAGAATGGCGTAAACCCGGGAGGCGGAGCTTGCAGTGAGCTGAGATCCGGCCACTGCACTCCAGCCTGGGCGACAGAGCGAGACTCCGTCTCAAAAAAAAAAAAAAAAAACCCACAAATCTAAAATCATGTAAAAATATATCAACTATTACTTTTGAAAGATTGTCCTATATTTTAACATGAATGAATATTACGTTAGTAATGAATATTAGACCTGATTATTCTAAAAATAATTTAAGCTTAACCCATTTGCACAAGGGTATACCTGTCATTTACTGCATTTGAGAGAACTTTTTACTACAACATGAAAGGGACATAGAGGTTTTATAAAATTTATTTTAACTTGTTATTGTACATTTTACAGGGAGTTCTAAAATCTTTAACTATTGACCTATTTACTCAGCTGAAACAATTCAAATGGTTAACTGTATTGAGATAAAACATGTTTACTGTGTTTCCAACATGATCCACAAAGATGCATTCTCTCCTAAAGGTGATTTATAGAGTAATAAGATACAAATACTTCATACAAATCTTAATGTTTGGCTGTCCCATTTCAGTGGCTGTGTCCTCTTCTTTTGGTGTTTAAGAAAACTCATTAATACAAAAGATAATTTTGTATTATTAGTTTTGAACATAGGACCCGCCATTTATGGAACTCTGTTTTTGAACAAAAATATTTGTTTTGAAAGGCATCTACAGCAAATAAATTTTTTTGATAGATTCACACCTGATTAAAAAAAATTAAAGATAAACTATAACTGTGAAGTGTGCTATTGGGAGGTAATATGTGGTCCAAATTCCAAAGAATTGGAGAAAGTGATAGAAAGAAAATGATTGGTGTTTCAAGTACTTATATATGGAAGTTTAATGTTGTAAATAAGAAAACGGGTGTGTAGGAGGGATAATAACTTCTTATCCACCCACAGACTTCCTTAAGCAACAAATACTGCAGGAAGAAAAAGTATTAGAGGTGCCTCCTCTCAAAATTCAGAGGTGTGTGGGTGGTTAAGAATAATTTTTAACCCCTGCTTTTCTCTCTAAGTCTTTCAGTCATATTATAAAGACAATGCTATGAATATTTTCCGTTACTCTTTTTTTTTTAAGTATTTTTGTGTTGTTTAGATCTTTGTTAGATTCGGAAAGATAAATAAGTCTGATGAAATTAAAACCATATTTTAACTATCAAAATAATTATAAATGTATTATCCTGCTGTACATGTGGCAGAATCCACAGTTAAATTTTAATATCATGTTAAAGGAAGTTGTGTGATAATGTTTATAGAAATAAAATGTATCTAAGATACACAGCATAGATACAATAAGTATATTTTTATTTCATGAGATAAAAGGAAGCACAGGACTTATTTATACAATTTATATATTTATAAACAATTTTTAAGATAATTCTTTAATAGGTTATTGTTGGATATGTGCAACAAGAAGTCAAATTAAACTTATGTCTATTGTTTGTATAAAAAAACCTTGCTTTTCTATGAATTATCCAGATAATTGTTGTTATGATAACTTTGGTGTAGAAAATCAGTTGACATATGGTTTTTATTTAATGAAAAAAATTCAAGTACAAATTATTTTCATATAACATTACTAAATATGTCCATAATTAAGACATTTGCTTCATATACATATTGGATAGAACAAGAAAGGTTTACATGGCAACACATTGTAGATCTTGGGCTGCTATTTCTGATTATGTGAACTGCTAAAAACTGGCAAAAATATTTTAAGAACTTTGAAACTTGGAGATAATTTTTTAAAAATCCTTGTCTTTCTAATGTGGATTTTATAATATTTAGTAATTTGGTTGACTTGAATGAGGCTAATACTATAACCTAGGTATTGTTGCAAGATTTCTGGGGCTGTAAATATGAATATGGCACAGTTCTTTACACTCAAGGAGATTACATGTAAATTCTCTTCAGAGCACACAATGGAAAAAATTATGATTCTAATTATGAAAAGAAAAATATTCCCTGCAGAAATAAAATATAAAATATATTGTAAATAGCAAGGAAATGAATATTTATTCCATAAAACATACTTGTAAAAGGC